CTCTTCCATTGGAGCCTCTGGGGAAAAAAAGAACCCCATCTAGGGTTTTGTTTGTTTGTTTTAAGAGATGGAGAAAAGGAGAAACAGTGATTTGTTATTGCACTTATTTATGCATTCATTGGTTGATTTTTGTATGTGCCCTGACTAGAGATCAAACCCGCAACCTTGGCATATTGGGACAATGCTCCAACCAACTGAGGGACCCAGCTAGGGTCCCCACCCAGGGTTTTTGGACTGCTGTGCCTCTAGCCTCTGGGCCTGAGGAGCTAAAGGAGGCAGTGTTTGCGGAGTCTGTCATCCCCATAGGCCTTGGGGAACTCACCCATCCCATCCCCAAATACACAACAGGCCACTGCTGGGACACTGATCACATTGGTACCACTGATATTTAGGCCTGGTAAATCTGTGGGTGTAGGAAAAGGAGCCATCCTGGGCACTGTAGGGTGTTGGGCAGTATCCCTGGCCTCTACCCACTCAATGCCAGCAGCACTGCCATTGGTGACAACCACAGATGTGCCCAGACATTGCCCAGTGTCTCCTGGGGAGGCAGCAGGCTCATTCAGGTGAAAAATTGCAGCACAAGTAAAATGCACACTCTGCAGGACACATCCATGTCTCTCTTACTGCAACCACCTTCCCTAGCCCCTCCATGCATCCCACCCACTCACCACCCACTTCCCGCCAGCCTGAGCCCAGGCCATGGGCCACCTGTCAAGGCCTGGACCAAGAGACTCACTGCTCTACTCATCGACGTTAAGCAAAGGATCCTAAAATACCCAAGCCTGGATCTGGGTGAGGGGCAGGTTTTTAGTTTCCAGGCACCTGGAGGGGCCGCCCTGTGTGGGAACCACAGACCAGGGATGGCCTCTTGCCTCACTAGGGACTGCGGGACCTCAGAAAACAGAATCCTACTTAGTCAATGTGGCAGGATCACAACTTTCGTGAAAAAACAAAGCCTGTCGTTTTTAAGACTGGAAGGAAGGACAGTAAGCTGGCAGATCAAGGACTCATATAAAACATGTTTCTTTTGGCTTTTTGGTCCTCTCTAACGTTTTTTAAATAAACATTACTCTGAGTCCTGAAAAAAACATTTGAATGGAGGGGCTTGTGTGGGGCTGAACCACAAACAGAAACCCAGGTTCTTTGTACTAGTAATACACCTAATTCTAGAAGTGAACTCTGCACTGGTGACATTTACAGAGGACTGTTTTGTAAACCCAGAACACCTTTTCTCCCATCTTTACAAAACAATCAAAACAATAGAACCACCCAACCACAGCAGTAGTGAAGGCTCCCTCCTGGGAGGCCTTAAGCTTCAATCCCAGAAGCCTGGTGGCCCTGGCTCCATAGGGGCTCCCTGGGGGCCTGGAGCCACACCTGGATGCACAGCTTCCAGGGAGGAACACAGAGGTGATGCTTGAAAAAGTAAAGCGACCTCAGCAAGGAAAGAAACAACCTACGGCCAAAAGATACGTCTCAGCTCAAATCTCAAACCTCCTACAAGAATCCCTGCCAGATCCCTCGCAGCTGTCACCAAACTGCCGTGACATTGACAATCACCATCATGATATATAGAGAAGCAAATCCATTAACGTTCTCTGCTCAACCCAAAGCAAGGCGTTCCTTGGGAGCCTATTCCCCTCCCGTTCCTGTCAAGTGAGACTGACACTCGGCGTGAAATTCAGTAGGCGCTGCTAAGTAAGGTGCAGCCAGAAAAGTAGAGCGAAAAGAAACACGGGCTACCGTGGGTAGTCCGGGTCCCGGCTGGAGGAATGTTGCCCGCTACAGTGTGGGGAGGGGCTGGGCCGAGAACGAGAGTCGGGGAAGCGCCGGCGGTGGAGTCCAGGCCTGGGCCGGGGAGCCTAGCCCGGGGCGGGCGAGCGGGCGGGCATTACCTGCTGCGGGGGACGCCGCTCCGCCGCCGCCGGGCGCGCCCGGGCCCCGGGCCCCGCGGTGCCGGAAGTGGCAGTAGGGCCGCCGGCAAGGACCCCCGGGCGCCCCAGACCAATAGGGGCAATCGATGGCCCGGAAGAAGCCTGTGGAGCGTAGCATGGTCCGTCCCGCGGCGAGGCCCCGGCCGGGAGCCGCCCAGGCTCCCGGTCCCTCACGGGCACCGCGGTCGCCGCCGCCCGCGCTTCTCAGACCCCGACGCCGCCATCTTGCTCCGAGGCCCCAAGAGGCCCCCGGGACGCCGCCGCAAGGCCCCGGGGAGCGGCTGTCCACAGCGCGCCCGACTAGAAACACCTGATCTCGCCAGATCGAGGCGAGTCGCAAGTCCATGGGCCTGGACAGGCAGCCGAGAGAGATGGAGTGGAGTGTGCAGACTGTCCTGCCTGAGGCCTTCGGGAGACTCGCCGGCGCCACCGCCCATCCTTCCGCAGCGGCAGTGGCGCCATCTTAAGCCCAAGGCCCCTGCAGCGTCTAAGCTGTCCACGGCGCGCCTGACCCAAAAAAAAAAAAAAAAAAAAGCCCTTCAGGGTCCAGCTATAGCTCATTTGCGTTTAATTTGCCTTTATTAGCATGTTCCCCCTAGAGCGCCCTCTGCTGGACAAAATGAGCCCTCTACCTGAACCCGGCAACACCAATGCCTGAGTTAACTCCACCCAAGCTAAAACTTAACCTCCACCCTGATATACAGTTGGCTCTCAGTCAGTGCTTAATTTCTCCCACCTGGACTCGTGTCAGCAGTCAGATCCCCAGATACACAGGAGGAGTCCTGTTCTCATTTACTCATTTGTCCACCAAACACTGAGCACCTGCTGTCAGCTGGCCTAGATGCTATGCTGAGCCATATTTTGTTTATCCATTCATCAGATGACAGATATTTGGGTTGTTTCCACCTTTTGTCTATTGTGAATTGTGCTGCTATGAACACATATGTAAGTATATTTAACTGAGTGCCATTTTGTTTCAGTACTAGTTTTTAAAATGTTGTAAATTTGTTGCCCATGTTCAGAACTTAGGGAGAACTAATGAGGTGCAATGAGGTCATTCCTTAGCTCACACTAGTAAGTGCTTCATTCATGCTCACTGGCCTTGGCCATTCCTTCCACAAATATTTATCGAGTATCTATTCCCTGCTAGAAACTTCAGTAAACAAAGCAATACCACCACCTTGATGGAGGTGACGTTCCAGATGGAGAGACAGACAGACAATAGGAAATTTAGGAAATAAGTAAATGAGATAGCATAATAAAACAAAGTTCTGGGGTGGGGGGAGTAGAATAAAGTAGGACTGGGAAAAGGAGTTATCCACACAGTCCAATGGGGAACGTGGGATTTGAGTTCTGAAAAGAGGAGCCAAGCAGACATCTAGGGAACGAGCATTCCAGGTGGAAGGCGCAGCCCATGCCAAGGCCCTGGGGCAGATCTGTTCCTGGTGTGTTGGAGGAACAGTGTGGAGGCCTGTGTGGCTAAAGCACAGTGAACAAGGGGAAAAGAGGGAGGGGATGGCAGGGAGGAAATTGCAGGGGGAGGCGGGCAGTGAGGTCCTGCAAGGCCTTGTGGGCCCCAAGAACTTAGACTTTTATCCAGGAGGAGGTGAGAACCCTGGAGAGCTGTGGGCAGAGGGACAGGATCTGACTCAGGTGCACACAGGCACCTTATATTGGCTGCTGAGTGAACTGTCTGGGGAAGGGCAAGGGCAAGACCTGATTCAGGTGCTCACATTGGTCCTCTGGTGGATGCCGTGGGGAGGACAACTATGGGGGTGAGGGTGGGAGCTGGGGACTAGGATGGAGGGGGCTAAGCTGCTCTATGTGGACAATGATGGGGGCTGCGGCCAGGTTTTGAAGGTACAGCTTCATGGAAATTTTCCAGACGGACTGGATGTGTGAGACAGAGTCACGATCAAGGGTAACCCCAAGGACTCTGGCCTGCACACCTGGAAAAGACACAGCTGCCAGTGACTAAAGGGGCGGTGCCAAAGAGCAGCCTGCTGATGGGCTGGAAACACTGGATCCTGGGGCTCAAGGGGAGGTCTGGGCTAGCGAGGGATTGAGGATGCCATCTGTACACAGGGAGACCTAAGCTGAGGGAAGTCAAAGGTCCATGTGCCAAAGAGCATCCAGGAGGCAGGAGGGGACATCTTCGAGCTGTTTCTGGGGCAGGTGGGAGTGAGTCCAGGAGAGACTGAGGAAGGGGCTGCGCACGTGGACCCCACATTCCAGGAACTCTGCTGCAAAGCAACAGGAAAGCCTGCCAGAGGGGAACAGGGCCCTAAGGAGTGATGTCTCTGGTCTTGCGGCAGAGCAGACTCCTACAGAAAGGGAACATGGGTGGAGCAGGAGCGAGAGGGTGCGAGGGAGGCCGTCTTCAAGTAAAGGTGAGAGCCCGTGCGCAGGATGGGAGTGGCTTTTGACAGCCGCAGGGACAGGACCCTGATGGAAGTTGGGCGGAAGCAAGCGACCACCAGATGGCGGGGCCATGGACTTCCTGGATGCAGGAAAAGACCCTAGAGGGTCTGCACTGGCTTACCAGCAGCCCCACCAGCTTTCATGGCTTTGGAGACCACTGGAATCTAGATGCCATTTTTCTAGAAAGGCAATTCAAAGCTTGAGCCAGCTTCTCAACACTCCCTAATCCTCCCTCCTTAAGGGGCCCCTCCCCCCCACTAGCTGCCTTCCCAATTGGGAACATACAGTAGCGTATAAGAGCCTGTTGGGACACAAAAGGGGGCACTCCCACAAATGGCCCAAGGGGCTTGGGCTCCCCCAGCACCACCCCAGCACCATACCTGTTAAGCTGGTAATGGGGCAGGAAGGAGGGCTGATCATCACAGCTGAGCAAGGCATGGGTGACACTGGAAGGCAGCATATGCTCCTGCAGGGCGTTGTGTCCCAGCCACTGTGGACTTGCCGAGACCCCTACCACATCTCTGATTTCACTAGCCCTCTGCCTCAGTTTCTACAGAAGGCAGGTAGTCTTGGGACCACACTGGTGAGGCAGAGCCCACCAGCTGGTGGGAAGCTGGCAGTGGGAAAAACCACACGAGCACTTAGTTGGGTTTAAAAAAGGGCTTGTTTAATTAAATACAAGGATGAAGTGGGGCAGAGAAGGGGAGAGGGGCGCCACCCAAGAAAGCACGAGTCCCTAGGGACGCTATTCTCCCTCCCCTGCCCCCAACCTTCAAAGGCCACAGCTACCACTGGCCCCTTGAAGGAGGGGGGTGTGGGTCTCTCTAGGCCCCTGGGATCCACAGTCCTGTGGACAGGCACCTGCCAGGCCGAGGACAACTGAGGGGACATCCACACAGACACAATGGTTAACAGGGCCCATGCCCCACTGCTCTCACAGGCTAAGGCATTTCACCATCTCTGGGAGAGGAAGGATTAAGGGTAGATGGGCCAGCCTTGCAAGGGTCTACCCGTAGGCCAGACCTGAAGATAGACTCAGCCCCAAAAGGACTTACCACCCCCCTCCCTCCCAGGACCCCAGGCACCCGTCCCTGGATCCTGCCAGGCTGGGTCTGGGTTCACAACAGTGCCATCCAAACCCCCGGCCCCTAGTTGGGACACAAGGCGGCTCTGGAACAAATGCAGATGCCACAAACCTCCTGCAGCCAATGGTGGGGGGGACAAGCCCTTTTAGGGTCTGGGGGCAGAGCGCCTGGGTATCTTCCCACTCTAGCAGGGTGGGGTCCTCAGTGCCTCTGTCCAAGATGAAATCCAGCCAACTATACCAGAGGACATGGCATCCACCCCTCTCCATCTTAAGTTCAGATCACAAGGACCCTCCCCTCACACCTTATCTCCTGAGGATGGCAGACCACCCTCGGGCCAGATCGAGAAGAAGGGCACCTGAAAAAATACTCTACCCAGTAAAAAACAAACAAACAAAAATGAGCTATTCCCAGAGAGTCCTATTCCTAGGGAGTCTGGGGCTAGTCCTCCCGCCTCCTGTCCTTGCAGTCAGGACCTTGATCACTGACTGGTACAGGCCTTGCAGCCCAGGGGGACACGCAGCAGAGGCAGAATAGAGCCAGGGCTCCCGCCTCCATCTGCAGGGGAGGAGAGGAAGAGGAGGGACTGATTGTCACATGATGCTTCGGAAGGCCAAAATCAGGGGTCCTGCTCCTGCAGGAGCAGGACGCAGCTGTGACAGCAGCTTCCCCGAAGAACTGTCTTACTCACACATTCACACACCCACCCAGGGGCACAGGACAGCCCCCAGCCAGCAGAGACAAGAAAATAAATAAGCCAGCATTCACTCTATCCCCCTTACCTGCCCCCCCAAAGTGAGGCAAACTGCTCTTTGGAAGAACCCTGTTCCTCTCCTGCCCTCCCCCATCTCAGAAGCAAAACCCAGACCCTCCCCCTATCCCCTGCCTCTCAGGGCTGGGGAGCTGGGGGGGCCCCTCCTGTGAGCAGGAGGGCTGAACCTGTGGACACCTGAGATCGAATACCCGAGTGGGGGACGGCCAGGCCGCACCCTATTTCCCTGAACAACTCCAATGGCTTTCTGTGGGGTGAGGGGCCCCAGGCGGGCGGGTAGGGACAGGTGGGCCCTCTGTCACGCCTGGTTCCTCTATGGCTCTTTGCACACTTCTTCCCAACCTGGAGGAAGGGCCTGCGGCCGATTCCGAACACTGGGCAGGGGGCGCCTTTCCTGGCCCACCCCACACATCCCCCAAACCAGGGAAGTGGTGAAGGGGAAAGGAGAGCACCTGCCAGCCACCCACCTAGGGTCCCAATTTAGCAGATGGGAAGAGTTATAGGTCATGGCTATTTACAGACATGGGCCCCAGCCACCCATCCCGGGGAGCCATCTCCAAGGTCCAGCTGCCCCCAGTCCAGTCTCAGGCCCCCCACCTTGCTTTCTTGAGGGGAGTAGAGGCATCTTAGGGCCCTTGAGGGGACACTGGAAGGGGGCCTGGACAACAGGCATGTTGCTGGTGTTCTGGGTGGGGTGAGCTCCGGGTGGGCTGGACAGGCCCTACAGGCCAGCAGGGGCTGGGCTGGGTGCTGGGCTGGGTGCGGGGCTGCCAGCCAGGCTGCAGGGCAGAGAGTCGCTGGGCGAGGTGCTGCGGGTGCCCGGACGCCGGAGCAGTTCCGGGCGGAAGCCTGGGTGGCGGCGCGCGTGCTTGGTGAGGTGGTCACTGCGGGTGAAGCGCTTGGAGCAGAGCGGACAGGGGAAGCGCTTCTCCCCCGTGTGCGTCCGGTGGTGGCGGGCCAGCTCGTCGGACCGTGCGAACTTCTTGTCACAGCCTGGCCAGTCACAGGCAAAGGGGCGCTCACCTGGAGGGAGGAGGCAGGGGGCACAGCGACAGCGGTCAGTGGGGTGGGGTGAGGGGACAGGGAGAGGGGGCCTTCACATCAGATCCCAAAGCATCCTGGTCAATTCTCTCGCCCCCACCCCTAGTTCTAGAGGCTGAATTCTGGGTGTGAATTTAAAACGTGTAAATACGGAAAATAAAAAAAGGACCCCTGCTCATTTCACAAATCCCTAATGAATATTCTCGCCCTTGATTTCCTGGGAACTTGTAGTAATTACACAGCTGTGAGCACTTTCCCTTGGTTAAAAGTAGAACCTACAGAGGCTGGGTTCTACCACCCCCACCCCCACCCTGTGCCCCCCAGGATGGCACCATGGTGATGAGGGTCTCCTTGTGTATTTGTCACACATGTGCAGGCTCAGATGCAAGCTGGGTTTTTGGAGGGGATTCTCCTCATGCAAACTGGTCCAGCGGTCTCACCCTCCCCCCCACCACTCCTTTTCACCCCTCCTTTGGGGCATTTCCTGGGTCTCTGAGGTGTTAGGCTCCCAGTTAAAACCTTTCCTTTTGGAAATGACCACCCAGGGTGCAGAGTGGGGGACACAATCTAGGCAGTTTCCCATGCTTGACCTTTCCACTGACCCTCATGGCACCTCCACAGGCAGACAGACATAAGAAAGAGCCGCCTGGGCCACCAACTGTACCTGCATATTCAGACAAGGCATCCCCACAGGTAGGCCAGCCCGACTGGGAAGGGGCGGGGCGCAGAGGCTAGCGGTAGGCACCCTGCAACTTCCTCTGCAGACCACACCCACAGCCCAGGCCGGCCTCACCCATCCTGCCCTGGCTGGCCGCCTTCCTACCCCGACCCCCACCCTGTCTGGGGTCTCTGCCCCACCACCCTGACGCTGTCCAGCCCGGACCCCCACCACACCACAGACCAAGGGGGTGGTCACCTGGAGCTTGCGCCCTGTAGTCCGCACCGGGCATCTGGGACCCCGGAATACCAGGGTGTTGTTCCGCCAGATGCCCAGAGGTTTTGAAGCATTTGCTGATAGAACGGGGACACCAGGCGGTGCACTCACGCAGGTGTGTGACACCCCTCCTGACACTGGATGGGGCCCCGAGTAGGACATGAGACAGCTGGACTGGGTCAAGGGGGCCACAGGCTCCCCCTCAGAGTGTTCCCTCATGGGTTAAATACACTGAAAGGCCCACTCTGGAGCCCTTCCATTGGTGGGGGCAGGTGGTCGGGGAGACAGACAGAAAGGGATCCTCAGCCAGGGGTCATGTAAGACCCCCAAAGCAGAAACCATGTGAGCAATACAGAGGTAACCAGGAGACAGCAGGAGGGACCACAGACAGACCTCCAGCCATGGAGAGAGCAGGGCCAGGATTCTCAGGGTAGCCCGGGCCTGCCCTGGGAAGAAAGGCTGGGGTGGGGGCACGAGTGGACCCCACAGGGACTCAGCCATCACCCTGGCCCAGACAAGAGCTGGACTGAAGCCTCCCCTCCCCCATCCCTTCCTTCTGGCCACACATGGACACCTCTGGCAGGACAGAAGATCAGAAACCAAACAGACCCCCCCCCAGAAGGTTTCTTTTGGGGTACCTGTCAGACTGTCCCTAGAAGGGTGTGAGCCCAGATGTCTAGGGAAGAGTACGATGCCACCTTCCCTCGGGAGTCACGGGCCACAACTGTGCTGCTGGGGGGACAGCAACTGTCCCCAAGACCACAGGCAGCCCCAAATCCCTGGAGCTGTTCCCTTTACGCCCCATGCCTCCCCTAAACAATCCAGAAGGCAGGGTTAGCACCAGCTGGGGGAAGGGTTGCAGCGGGGACATCCTGTCCAGAATCGGGGGCTTGAAAGAGTCCCAGAAGGGGTCCCAACCTCACTTCAACCGTGACTATTCAGTAGAGCTATGTGGGGAAGGGGACTCCAGTTACTGGGGCAGTGACACCCCTCCAAGGGACACGCAGTTGTATCGCCATCTTGCCAGGCACAGGCGGGAGAGCAGAAGGGGGAGGGAGCATCCCACTGCCTTTGCAGCCGGTAGTTGGCTCACTTCCCCATTCAGGGTGGTGGGGCCGGTCCACACCTTCCCCCCTCCGCCCCCCAGTTCCACTTTGCAATGAGCAGGTTGCATGAGCTGTGACAGTGCTTGCCAGGGCAGGATAGGCACAGTCGCTGGGAACACAGCTGCTGCACGTAGCTCATTGGCTAGCTCATTGGTGTGGGGACTCCTGCAGCCCCAGCCAGCCCTGCTCACGTGGTTTGGCCCCCACAGGGTAGGGGCGGCTTCCAGCCCCCACAGCGATGGCCAAATACCTGCAAGATGCCAGGCCCTGCCACCCTCTCACAGTCCACTGGCAGAGAAAGGTGCAATATTCAGAAGCTCTGGGCCGGTGAGGGTCCCAGGTATGGCCACCTGGCTGGAAAGGGTGCTGGAGAGCATTTGGTGGGTGGACTTGACCCTGACGGGCTGAGACCCGAGGAACGAGGGAAAGCCAGGAGCCAACATGGTGCCATGCAGGCTCTGCACCACCCCTCAGAGTGGTCTCTCCCTCCTGGTGCCCCCCTCCCCCATCCCTTTCATGGCTTTTCTATCTTTGTGCTCTGTACCTCCCGGGTGTGATAACGCACCCCCCCCCCCCAACCTGGCAAACTGAATGCATCTCTGGAAGGAGTCTACAGGCCAGAAAACTTAAGCTCCAGCTTGTGGCTAGGCTCGGCTCGGGCAGTGGCTAACAGGTTTGCCCCTCATCTCATTCACCCAAACCCCCAGGTAGGAGCTTTGACTCCACCCATTTATTTTAAAGGATGGCCTTCCGCAGTCCCTCCCTTGTCCCTCTTCCCTCCTGGAGGACCCTCCTGCCTCAACTCATTTCTTACTCAGAGTGGCATCTCTGGCATGGAGGGGGGCTCTCGGTGCCTGAGGTGAGGGGGCACTCTCCCACAGGCCCTCCATAGAATGTGTTCCAGAGACCTGTTGTTCTGGAAACATCACTGGGGGAAGGCAGCCCACCTAGCCCCCTCCCTCCCTCAGAAGCCAGCTCCTCACCCCCGTATCGTTCACCCATTGCTGGGCCATCTGGGCACCTTTATCAGGGAGCCTGGGTGGTGGGTGGTTATCATCCCCTGCAATGTCGGGAGGCCCACCCCCCTCTCGACCCCTGGCTGGGACACAGGCACCTGTAGCCAGTTCCAGCTGCTCTCTGCACCCCTGCCCAATGGAGGAGGAGCTAGGTGGGGAGGAAGTTCCTGGGTACCCAGGCCCCCTTAAGGACTAGCAATGTCCCCCGCCCCTCTCCCAGACAAGCCACCAGTATCCTGAGGCCCACCTAACCTTAAGGGAGCTCCCAGCTCTGTCTGGGGACCATGCTGCCCTCTGGGCCTCAGTTTCCCCATCTGCCTCTTCTCCTGGGGGCTCTTCAGCAAACTATAATCATCACGACCACCCTGTACTCCTCAGGCTGTTGTATTAAAAAACTGAGGCCCTACCCTCTTCTTGCCCTCCCCCCACAGGCCTCCCCTCCCCTCCCATTTCTATATTGGCCCCTCCCCTCCCCTCCCACACAGTGGCTTGCCTCTTCAACCTCTAATCCCTTCTCCATAAATGGATTTCCCCCTGCAAAGCCCAGGGCTCTCCACCTTCCCCCTACTCTGCCCTTGGGATTAAATGGAGCCCTTAGGCTGTTCTGCTCCCTCAAACCACCACCTCCTCAAAACCCACAGCCCTGGGCCCCTGCCCCCCCCCCCCCGCAGCCAGGGTGCTGCCCCTCTCCTGGGACCCACCCCTCCCTGCCCCTCCCAACCCCTGGGCTTCACAGCTCTACTGAGCCCTCTTCTTCCAGGAAGCCCCTTTCTTCTATCAACTCCCCCACAGTTCCGTGGTCCCAGGGGACAGGACTGGGATCCCCAGGCTGCCTTGCTCACAGTAGGTGCTCAGCTACTGTTTCTCAGACTTAAGTAGACAGGGTTTTAGAGTGAAACAGGGTCTCAACTGGAAGTGATCCTGCAACACCCCATGGGACACTAGGAGACCGCCTGAGGACATCTACAGCTGTCACAACTGGGGAGAGGTCCCGGCACAGAGTGGGTGGGGGCTCGGGGAACTAAACACCCCCCCCCTCAAGGCACACATGGCTGACTGCGTGCTTGCTGGGCACTGGGGGCGCAGGCAGGGGAACTGAAGGGAGATGAGGGAGGCTGGGAGAGCAAGTAGACAGCCAGCCTCTCCTCCCGCCCCCGCCCCATCTCCCTGTGTATCCACGGCAACGGCGTCAACATCTCCACAGCTTCCAAAGTCCTTGCCCGCCCCACGCAGGAGAGCTCCGCACTGGGCCAGGGACTGCAGGCAGGGCACAGAAGCCCATAGAACAGCCCTTCTGACATCCTGTGCGGCTGGGTGGCCTTGTGAAAAGACCCCAGGGACTCTCCTGGCCTCCCCACCCGGCAGCAAATGCAGCAGGGATAATGGGGACATCAAGCTCAGTCCAGTGCCTCACCCTGCTCATCTGTACAACACGGCTAGACCGCAACTGGCATCGCCTTTACTGAGAGAACAGGCCTCAGACAGAAGAGGGCGGGGGCAGGACTCTCTCCCAAGGGCCCTTGGGGGGACAGACTGCTCAGCAGACAACTACCTCTAATTATGCTCTGTCCCTAGCCTTGGGACACCCAAGATGAGCATGGATTCCCCAACCCCAAAATGAGCTTAACAGCAGCTGCCCCCTCCTCCAGGGGGAAAAAAAAAAAAAAAGGTCCTCACACAGACTCCAGGCAGGGTTTGGAGGCTCGGAGGTGCTGGGAATAGGGAGACACTGAACAAGCAGTCGTTAGGCACGCAAGTGTCCAAAGCCTTGGGAAACAGAACCAGTGCTGCCTGCCAAGTGCATCCAGGAGCTGCGCCGCACTAGGTGCCTTGCACTATGGTTATAAAGGAAGCTTCAAGACAGGACATCCAGAGCCACAGCTCCCACAGGGCACAGGACGCAGCACGGATGGCACCGAGCCCTCCCCACCATCTGCACCCATCCCTATGACACCCTGACTCGGCCTACCGGGCCTCAGCATCTCATTAAAAATGGGGACAGTGCCCTGGCTGATGTGGCTAAATGTACTGAGCACCAGCCTGCAAACCAAAAGGTGGCTAGTTTGATACCTGGTCACATGCCTGGGTTGCAGGCCAGGTCCCCATTGGGAGCATGTGAGAGGCAGACAATGTCTCACTCACTCATTGATGTTTCTCTCCCTTACTTCCTCCCCCCTTCCCTTCTCTCTGAAAATAAAGAAATAAAATCTTTATTAAAAATGGGGAAGTCAATACTGACATACTGGTCCCAGCAAGTCCTTCCTCCCCCACAGACTTGGGATGGCCGCCACTGTCCAAGGGCCTACAGAGGTTTTGAAGGCTCCCAGGACACCCTGAAGAAGTGTCCCTTGGGAGCCAGGGTGGAAGGTGGCCTGGCAACCTGCTTCACCCCATCCAAAGGTCTGACAGAATCTGGGGGAAAGACCCAATCGTGTCAGGGTACTGCCGGGGAGCAGGCTGGGGGAGGGTGTCCCAAAGCCTCTCAGAGAGCACACGCCTCAGGCAGGAGGTGGGACAGGCAGAAGGGCACACTGACCAGTAAGTCCCTCTGTCCCTCCTGTCTCGACTCCCTCCTCAGCCCTCCCCACCACTCTGTTGAGACAGGCAGACTCACCCCAAATGAGCCGCTGAACTAGACACCAACTCACTGCCCAGAGAGGCACCTGTCTATCTTCGTGAACCCTCAAATGTCCCTCTCAACACAAGGGCCCCACTGTCTTTTTTTTAAAGATTTTATTTACTTATTTTTAGAGAGGGAAGGGAGGGAAAGAGAGAGAGAGAAACATCAATGTGCAGTTGCTGGGGATCATGGCCTGCAACCCAGGCATGTACCCTGACTAGGAATCAAACCTGAGACACTAGGGCCCCACTGTCTTGAAGATCAAATACTACCCCGTGACCAAACAGAGAAAGATGGTGGCTCCTTGTGAGAAAATGTAGACCTTGCCCCAAGTCCTGGCCAGCATGTACACAGGTGGGCAGAGTCTTCGCCCCTTGAGGAAAACAGACAGGGACTGAAGGAGAGGTAGAAGGAGTGTGGAGTGGGTAGGGTGGCTGCCATCATCTGTGTGGCATTTGAGGTCTGGGCACTGGCCTGAGGCTGCCCGCTACGTGTTGCTGACACACTATTGGGATTAACCTGCTTTCCTGAACCCTGTCCATGTGTTCCTGCCATGGGAGCATGTCCACAGAGCCAAGACCTGCAACCCCATCCCCAGCCCATACTCGCAGCAAGGAGAGCATTCAGAGCGTGGGAACCTATGGACAGTAGATGGGACCCACAGCGGCGGAGAGGGAGATGGAGTAAAAGCAGAGTGAGACTGACTAGTAGCCCCATTCCTCCAGCCTCCAATAGCTGCCCCGTCCCACCCCACCGGTGTGTGAGAGGTCACTGTCCCAAAACCCTACTTCTGCACCCTGTTCCCCTTCCAAGTTCTGCAGGACGGGGGACAACCAACACGCTAGAAACAGGGGAGCACCTGATTCCCTCAAGGAGTACCCCTCTCACTCCTTCTCAGACTCACGCCCCAACCCTCACTCCCAGCCCCGCTCTCCACTTTATCAACCGCCCCCAATCCTGGCTGCGTACCAGACCGCCCTCTGGGGAGAATCCACGCGGCCATCCCAAAGACGCCGAGGCAGTTCCTCCTCCCTGTCTACGGCTAAGAAACTGAGGCATGGGAAGGATAGGAATGAAAATCTCACAGCTGGGTTTTCCAGTCCTGGTGCACACCACCCAAAACAGAACGCAACAGAAAATAAGAGAAAAAATTCACCAGGGAAAGGGCTTCCTGGGAGACCCGGCCGGCTCCCCAACTCAGCGGGGCCGCACGCCCAGTGAGCCCCAGCCGCTGCCTCTGCGCCCGCCATCCGCACATCGACAGACCGCGTGGCCACCACGCCCCCTGCACGCGCCCCACCCACCGAGGCCCCGCCCTTCCCCGGCTAGCGCGGCGACGGCTCGGGCGCGCCCCCCTCCCCGCCCCCGACGCGCCACGCAGTTTCGGGGTCCCGGCAGGGGCGGGGGCGCGAGAGGCCTTCCCCGAGCGGCCCAGACTCACCTGTGTGCGTTCGCAGGTGCGATTTGAGGTGAGAGGATTTGTAGTACGCTTTGGCGCAGCCCGGGAAAGGACAGCGGTGGCTCTTGGAGGCGGCAGGCGCGGCACCGGGGGCGCGGCCGGAGGACGGGGACGAGGCGGCCGAGGAGGAGGAGGTGGAAGAGGCGACCCCCGGGGCCGCAGCGGGGCCGCCACGCAGGTCGGCCAGGATGCTGGCAGCTAGCAGGTGGGGCGCGGCGGCGGCTCCTGGACTCGGGCCGGGGGTGGCCCGGGGGGGCGGCGGATGCGGCCCCGGGGGCCCGGGCGGGGCGGCCTCGCGGCGTGGCGCGCGCACATCCAGGCCGGTGGCGGGGCCCGCGCCCTCGGGGCCCGGCCGCCCTCGGTGCACTACGGCGCCGGAGGAGATGGCCATGAGCACGTCGGCTGCGAAGTAATCCACGCACGCTACCGCTGCCGACATGCCGGAAAAGGGCGCGCAACGCAGACCAAGCGGAGGCGGCAGGAGCAGCGCCCGTCCGGCCGGCGGCGGCTGCTCAAGTGCGGGAGGAGGAGGAGGAGGAGGCGAGCGCGCGCCGCCGCCGCCGCCGCCCGCGCTCGTCCCGCCCCGCCCCGCCTGACGCGCCCTGACGCACCGGAGCCCGCGGAGGCGGCCACGTCCCGCCCCGCCCGGAGGACGCCCCCTCGGGGCGCCGCGGCCACGCCTCTGGCCCGGAGCTCCCTCCACTGTCCTCCACTGCCCTGCCTGCCGCACGCTACTGCCGGAGGCGGGGCCCGGGCCCTAGGAGCCGCCTCCCGGGCGCGCCTACTCCTGCCTCGAAGCACGCCTGGCTTCCTGCTCTGAGCTCTCGTTACCCACGCGGGGCGCCAGTCCTGGAGCCTGACCCTTCTGGCGGGTCTCTTCCCCTGTCACATTGCCCCGAGTCCTCTCCTCAGAGCACCTCTCCGCTGTAAAAACCCTCCCCCAGGAGCGCGTCCCGCCCCTCCTGGCATGCCCCTCCCTCCCCCGACGGCCCCCACCTCCTCCCGGCGCTCCCCTCCTTTCTCGGCGCGCTCCCCGCCCCCTCACGGGCGCGCCCATCCCACGGCCCGGCGCGCGGCCGGCGGGAGCCCGCCCCTTCCCCCGGACGCTTCCACCCGGGCTTCGGCGCGCCCCCGTTCGCGATGGAGGAGTGCTCCACGCCCCACGTGGCTGGGTGGGGGTACGGAGACGGCCGGCCCCGCCCCCCGGCCACGTGCGCGACCCTTTCCCTTCTGCTCCTCCTGGGCCTGCCCTGCTTGACTGCGTGCATCTGCGTTCCCTTGCCCTCCTTCTTGGTAGTCCCCATCGCCGTTCCCGGAGGCTTCTGGGGCCTCCCCGACTTAGGCACTGGGGGTTAGGGGGCGTCCCGCACCGCCAGGTCGAACGAGCCTGTGTTCGTTCCTCTTTTTGCGTCGCATTTGGGAGTCACTTATGTTCACCTCGCTAAGGCTGGAGAGGGCCGGTCTGCGTTAGGGGAGGGCGAGAATAGCAGGATTGGGAACTGGAGCCCATGGAATCTCAAAGGGCTGGGGTCGGAGTATTTTGGAGAGGCAGGGCATCCCTGCCCTGCCTGTACACGCGGGTGGAGGACATCGCTCCCCGCCATTGGGCAGGGATCCTTGTTCAGGCCAAGTTCTTTAATAGCAAGGGACGCAAATGGCCGGGGTCCGCTGGCCCAAAGTGGGAGGTCCGCGGAAGTGGGTGGCCACGCCCCCTCCCTTTCCTATACTGGTGGTAGGGACCGTGCTGTAGCCTAAGCGGCCTCTAGGGAACCTGAGTGGCCTCCATGGGGCCTTTTCGGCCTCTCTGCCTGGGGTTCCAGTCACTAATGCGGGCCCTGACTTGCTGTGAACAAGGGCCATGACCCTGACCCCAGCCACACCCCAGAACTCTAATCTTACCCTCTCCACCTGCAACTCTGGCTGACCTGACTCAGCTGGGCCCCTGTCCCCAGGGGTCTCCTCCCCCCACCACTGCCATACCTCCTTGTTGGTGCCAGTTTGTGATAAAAATGGTAGCCCAGTGGGCTCCCTGTGACAGGCAAACCCACTCTCTCCTAGCAGAGGCTCTGAGGCCCACTCTGGACAGCTACTATCAAGTTCACTCAGTGAACACTGGTGGTCAGCCATCCTGCCGACTTGGGCCCCCTCTTCCTTTGAAGATGTAGGAGATGGATCACCTTGGCATGCTCCCAATCCCCCATCTCACAGCCGTTAGGCTGTTGCCGCATCCACAGGTACTGCTCAATCCTTAAGACTCAGCCTTTCCAAGTCCACAAGAAGCAGGCATCACCTTTTGGGTCCTCCCACCAGGCATGCAGGCAAAACAGCAGGATGAGAAAGAGGCTGGGACCTTTTTTTCCTTCCACCTGTGTTTATTAGGCCAGAGCGAACGCACCCAAAGGCTGAACTACAGGGGCTCAGTCTAGGGTAAGGCAGCTAGAAGTCTGACAATGAAATGGGTGAGCAGGCACAGGCCTGTCAAGCTGAGGAAATGGGGGAAGCCTCCCAGAGGCAGCTCCACTTGGAGCCTCAGGTGTGACAGCCCTCAGCTGATACACCAGGGGTACAGAGTGGTGGCTGAAGAGATGCCCTCTTCCCACGGGCAGAAGGGGGTAAGTCATGGCAAGTCAAGGGTCAGGGCTGCCACCCTGGCTGTGCCCAGGAGGCGGAATAGCCCAGGACAAGTCATTCTTTTGGGGCCTCAGATGTGAACCACTCCCAGGGATAGTCAGAGTCTCAGGCCTATGGCCTACGTCTACAGGCCACACCAACTGCTCTGTAGGTGGGAGCTCCTATATAGAGGCACTTGCTCCACCTGTGGGTTTTCTCTTCATGCCGGGGTTCTAGGGCCACCCGGGCAACCAGCACATGTATAACCCTCAAATCCCGGCCACCCACAAGCCCACCTCTGACCCAGCTCAGCCTTGTGCCTGTTCACTGTCCTCACTACAACCCTTCAGCAACTATCACCCCCATTTCACAGATGCAGAAACCAAGGCTAGAGCAGGGCTGAGCAACGGTCTACCCAAGCACAGAGCCAGGCAACAGTGAGGGTTCGCGGAAAATACAAAGGAAGATGGCCTGAGATTATTCTGATCTGGGCACCCACCTGGCATCAGTCCCTCCTTCCTCCAGACCTTAGTTTCCTCACCTGTAAACCGGGGATCATCTTTGCCCTTCACTGACAGTACCAAGGGACTCAGAAGGCCAGGGCAGTTGAGGAGGTGGAGGGCACACAGGTGAAGGGAAGGCTACATAAAATGTGGTGCACCATGGTGCCCATGGAGAAGGTAGGCAGATAGGTCAGGTCAGAATCAAGGCGGGAGGGGGGTGCGCATATACATAGAGACATGGTGTAATGGCCATATCATCTTATAAGAAAATAAAACCTTTTATAGTGGTACTTTCTGTACCATTCAACTTTTTTTTTAATCCGTGTATCTTGTACTTTTATTTTCTTTAAATGTCAATAGGTATCTAGGCAGTGCAGTTATGTGCTATGTGTCCTTTGTTTTTTTTATACCTTTCTATATGAAAAACAGTTTTCTAAGTAAATACCCCCTTTAGTGCAGGCTGAATTCAGGGGTTCACTTCTAAAGAAAAGGGCAGGACAACATTCTGCTGTGGGGACATCCTGCTGGACTCCACCTCAGCCAGGTGGTCAAAGTCAACCTCAGGATGATGTCCTGTGTGTGCCAGGGACTCCCGATGGGATGTGGCCAGAAGGGCACTGCGCATTGGTGTCCTCTTCCCCAAAACCCACAACTCCAGTCTGTTCATGAGGAAACAGGTCCAATGAGGGAACATGTCACAAAATGCCCCCTAAACTGTCAAGGTCATGAAAAACGAGGAAAGACTTGAAGTGCCCTAGATTGTAAGAGACTAAAGAGATATGATGACCAAATGCCATGTGGGGGCCTGGGCTGGATCCTGAACAGGTAGGGCTGTCAGTGGAAAACCTGATGACACTGGCATACAGTCTGGCGTGTGGTTGGCTGGAATGCACACAAGTCAATTTCTTGGCTTTTAACACAATAACATGAGGGGTGCTGGGTGAAGGGTAGATGAGAACTGCCTATACTGTCTTTGAAACTTTTCTGTAAACCCCAAATGATTCCAAAATGAAAATTGTAGAACATGGAGAGTGACCGTGGGAGTCACTTAATAATAATCACCACGTGGATAGTAACAGCTTACATCAGAGACACTGCACTCAGTCTCACTGGTCTATATGTAGCTTACCAAAACTGTAAATGTTGTGCCCATTGACCCAGCAATTCCACTCCAAAAAAAGGTACCCCAAAATATTCACGAAGAAGCATGTACGTATAGTTGCACTACTTACAATTAGAAAAAAGAAAGTAACCTTAACATCAGTTACTAAGTTATGGAGAACGGGCCTTGGGAGAATCAGGACACAGGCTTAATGGTGAGAAGCCAGCTCCAACCGGAGGAGGCCTATTTATGCTGTGATTCTGTTTTCACCTCATCTGCAGCTTATCCACAGTGGTTACCTCTGGAGGGGCCTGAAAGGACCTGGCAGGGACATGGAGGACCAAGAGAGGGCATGGGGGTTTAGGAAGCGGTGGACCAACTCCTTAGAGGGGCACACCAGGGAGCACACATCCTATTCTGCCTTCTGTATTCAACCAGATTCAACCCTGACCACTTGGTGTTGGTCCTGCTCCTGCCACCCCTCATCAAGTCAGTGTTGTAGCACTATGGCAGCCTTTGGTGATAGAGCATTTTAGAGATTAATGCACACTTTGCACTCTCTTAAGGCACCTGTGTTTATTTCCAACATGTGTGAGACTACTTATACTTACCATGGTCCAGGGATCCCTTACAGGAGCAGCTTAGAGCTTGGGGTGGGAAAATGAGCATGGCCAGGCATGGCCAGAAGGTGGGCATGTGACTATTCTACTGCTGGCACACCACACAGGATGCACTAGCCCTCTGCTCAGAGCTGCTGGGAACAGACCCAGGGTCCCCATTCCTTTTCCAGGAAGTGGGAAGGGCAGGATCTGGCTCTAACCTGGTGTTCACTTGCTTGCTCTCATGTGGGGATTCCCTTGCCAAAGGTGCTAATCATCCTCACTCCTTGGCTGGCCCAAGGCCCCTGAACGTAGAGGCTCACAGAGACACAGACGGGGTTATATCTATCTGGCTCTCAAAGACATCCATATGCCTGACCCCTGAGCCACCTCTCACAGGCCCATGCTCCTCTGGCTCCACCTGAGCTGCTGAAGGAGAAAAGCCCTTCTCAAGGTGCCCTCTTCCTCCAGCATGGGTCAGGGGGAGCTCTGCTAGGCACACTGGACTTCAGAGAACAGCCTGAGCCTGTCCCAATCCCCTCAGAGTGCCATCTCTGTGTGCTATGGACACATAAGTGGCTGTGGTCTGTGCCCCACCAGTGCCAGGTGCTGGGATGTGGCAGCTCAGAGCTCGCTGCCCAACAGAGGCACACTTGCAGCCCAAGACTGAGCACCATAAAAGCCCAAGACCAGAGCCCAGGCAGAGTCCCAGAGCTTTGCTCTTGGGGCAGCTTTGCCTGAGATATCTGCCCTGTAAGTGGGGACAGCAGGGATGGTGAGCCAAGCAACCCAGGGTTTTCATGAAAATCAATTTGGCACATGGCAGGAGCTGTGAAATAAAAGGAAGGTGGTCCCTGCTGCTCGGCCAGCAACCCCGTCTGATGAATCCCACAGCTAAGTTGGTCCTGTACCCCCTGACTGAGAGCCAGACTAGGTAAGTGTTGCCCCAGGGGTGGGAGCCCACACCTTAGAGTAGGTACTCTGGGGCCCTGAGAGGTGGCACCTCTGGAGGCCTCATCTCAGATCTGGGCCCTGCAGAACCCATGTCTGAGGTGTGCCGGACCAGGACCAAAGGTTTCAGGGAGCCATGGGCCAGCCTCCTGGG